CATCGGCTGCTGCTGCTGCTGCTGCTGCTAGGGAACTCCCTAATAATATTCACCCCCCTTTATTTATTTATAAGGAATAGCTAGCTAGTTAGCTAGCTAGCTAGCTAATTAATAATACTGCCTATTAATATATTGTATTTATTGTATTTGCTGCTGTCTGGAGCAGCGCAGCAGCAGCAGCACAGCAGCAGCAGCAGCAACAGCAACAGCAACAGCAGCAGCCACTGGTGTAGTAGTCGTATGTTAACAGCAGCCGACGTTCGTATTGCTGCTGCTGCTGCTGCTGCTGCTGCAGCAGCAGCAGCAAGAAAATGTTATTTTTATTACTATTAATTCCTTACAATTTTATTTCCCCATAGGATACAATCTTACGAGGGTTTAGGGTTTAGGGTTTAGGGTTTAGGGTTTAGGGTTTGGGCCTTGGGCTACCTCTCCTCCCCTACCTTCTCCGCTGCTGTCTTCTTTCTACTTCTTGTGTATTGTCTAATCATTAGAGGGTACACACAGCTGCTGCTGCTGCAGTTGCTGCTGCTGCTGCTGCAGTTGCTGCTGCTGCTGCTCCTGCTGCTGCTGTTGCTGCAGAGTAGCTTTGTTACTCCTCTGCACATCTCTCTGCTCGGGAGTGTCTGTACACTGCAGCAATTTCATGCATCAGCAGCAGCATGACAGCAGCAGCAGCATGACAGCAGCAACAACAACACCAGCTGCTGCAGCAACAGCAGGCCTAACAGCAGCAGCAGCAACAGCAGCAACAGCAGCAACAGCAGCAACACACTGCTGACACCGTACGCCCATAATTGACGAGGCCCCCTCCAATCCCACTACAGCTGCAGCAGCAGCAGCAAGGAGAGCAGCAGCAGCAGCAGCAGGAAAAAAAACAGCAGCAGCAACAGGCGCAGCTGCAGCAGCAGAGGTAGCAGCAGTAACAACAACAGCGGCAGCAGCAGCAGCGGCACCGAGCTGCTTGCTGCAGCTTGCTGCTGCTGCTGCTGCTGCCATGCCACGCAGTGGGGGAGAGGGTCGCGGGGCATCCAATAGGTCTGCTGCTACAGGAGCAGCAGCACCTGCAGCAGGCAGCAGCAGCGGCAGCAGCAGCAGCAGCAGCAGCGGCAGCGGCCTCCATACGAGGCGAAAATCAACAACAGGGGGGCCGCAGCAGCAGCAGCAGCAGCGACAACAGCAGCAGCAACCCCAGCGGTCGTTCCAGTCGCAGCCGCGGGGGCCGCAGCAACAGCAGCAGCAGCAACAGCAGCAGCAGCAGCAGCCGGGGTCCCTCTCCCTTCCCGCTGCTGCAGCAAGTCAGTGTGCTGTGGGGTCCCCTAAGAACTTCAATAACCGCAGAGGATCAGGACAGCAGCAGCAACAACAGCAGCAGCAGCAGCAGCAGCAATTTGGACGTCAGGGGCAGCAGCAACCCAAGCAGCAGCAGCAGCAGGAGGAGTTCAAGCAGCACGAGCAGCAGCAGCAGCAGCAGCGTGAGTTGCGTTTTGTTTTTCTCCTTGTCTCCTATCTACAGCTGCTGCAGTTTGCTGCTGCTGCTGCAGCTGCTGCTGCAGCTGCTGCTGCTGTCCTGTTTGTCCTCCTTAGTCTCTTTTCCTTTCATACACTGCCCTTCTTTTACCATTAGGGTTTAGGGTTTAGGGTTTAGGGTTTACGTTGTGTGCTGCAGCTGTGCGTACACCCCAGGGGGGTCGGTCGCGAGGGAGAGGCAACAAACGCAATGTAGCAACAGCAGCAGCAGCAGCTGCTGCATCTACTGCGGCAGCAGCAGCAGCTATAACTGCAGCAGCTGCAGCAGCAGCATCAGCAAGACCAGCATCCGCACCTACAGCAGCAACTGCTGCAGGCAAACCCGCAGGAGCCTCACCCTCGGTAGAGCCAGACAAGCCGCAGCAGCAGCAGCAGCAGCAGCCGCAGCAGCCGCAGGAACAGGTGCAGCAGGGGCAACAGTATGAACAGCAGCTGGAGCAGCAGGTGCATGCGCTGCAGCAGTTGCAGCTGACTGACCAACAGGAGCAGCAGCCTATCTACCTGGCGCAACAGCAGCAGCAGCAGCAGCTGGAGCAGCAGCAGCAGCAGCAGCAGGAGGAGGAGGAGCAGCAGCAGTTCTATTCTCCATTATCTGGGCAACCTTCTGTTTCTGTTACAGGAAATCTATCAGACGCTTCTGCTGCTGCTGCTGCTGCTGCTGCTGCTGCTGCTGCTGCTGCTGCTGTTTCCCCAACAGCAGCAGCAGCAGCAGCAGCAGCAGCAGCAGGAGGTAGCGATGCAGATGATGAAATGCATCCAGATGAGGATACACTTGGTGACGAGCAGCCTACTGCAGCAGCAGCAGCAGCGGACGCAGCAGCAGCAGCAGCAGTAGCGCAAGCAGCAGCAGCAGCCCATGCAGCAGCAGCAGCCCGTGCAGCAGCAGCAGCAGCAGGAGCAGGTGTACCCCATTGTGCCTCCCCATTACCTGCTTCCTCCCCAACAGCAGCAGCAGCAGCAGCACCAGCACCACCGCCACCGCCAGCAGCAGCAGAAGCAGCAGAAGCAGCAGAAGCAGCAGAAGCAGCAGGAGCAGCAGGAGCAGCAGGAGGAGGAGGAGAAGAAAGTGTAGGGTATATAGGTAGCTGGCCCCGTGTCCCTCGTTTCCCTGTGTCTGCTGCTGCTGCATTTGCTGCTGGGGATCGGGATCCGATCCCCGTTCCCTCTGAGCTAAGAAGGGAGGCGCATGTGCAGCGGCTGCTGCTGCTGCTGTCCCAGGAGGACGCTCGTAGATACGAGCAGCAGCAGCAGCAGCAGCAGCAGCAGCATCGTCGCATACATCATCAGCAACACCATCACCATCAGCATCACCATCAGCAGCATCAGCATCAGCATCAGCAGCAGCAGCAGCAGCAGCAGCAGCAGCAGCAGCTACGCCTACCTGAGATAGTACAAGGACGTTATCATTCTTTATTATTATTAGATACAGAGGAGAGTTTAGATCGTCAACGTTTATTGCTGCAGCAGCAGCTGCAGCAGCAGCAGCAGCAGCAGCAGCTGCTGCTACCTTCTGCTGCTCTCTCCTGTGGCTACCCTACTGTCTCCTTTAAGGCCCTTTGTCTTGATGATCCGCATGCATATGTTATTCGTATTGTTGCTCTCTTCCCTATCTCCTCCTTTGATCTAGTTAAGGTACGTTGCTGCTGCTGCTGCTGCTCCTCCTCCTGCTGTTGCTGCTGCTGCTGTTGCTGTTGCTGTTGCTGCTGGGGTTGCTGCTGTTGTTGTAGCTGCTCGTTTTTTCTCCTGCTGCTGCTGCTGCTGCTGCTGCTGCTGTTGCCACTTAAGCTGCTTCTTATCACCATTAACAGCAGCAACATTAATATTAACAGCAGCAGCAGCAGCAGCAGCAGGAGGAATTATTATTATTGTGTTGTGTTGCATGCACAGGCAGCAGTGCAGCAATGGGTACCTGTGTCTTGTAGTCATGCAAATATAGTACCATTAAGACATGCAATAGCAACAGCAGATTTCTCTAGTTGTGTCTCCTCCTTATTTGCTGCTCCTCGTTGCAGCAGCAGCAGCAGCAGCAGCAGCAGCGGTTGCTGTTATTGGAAAGGTATTATAGGTGCAGCAGCAGCAGCAGCAAGTGATGATAGCAGCAGCTCAGAGACAGATAGTATAGATATGCTGCAGCAGCACAGCAGCAGCAGCAGCAGCAGCAGCAGCAGCAGCAGCAGCAACAGGAGACATATAAACACAGCAACACAAACAATAGGAAACAGTAGTACAATGATAACACCAAGCAGCAGCAGTAGTTGCAGCAGCAGCAGCAGCAGGAGCCGCAGCAGCAACAGCAGCAGTGTTGGATTTGTTTATGATTATTTACCTAATGTATATACACTAGAGGAAAGATTTATTAATAAAAAAAAAAAAGAAATAAAGGAAGAAATCTTATGGTATATTATTATACAAATACTTCTTGCCTTATATCATATACATAAACATAAGTAAGTATAAATAAATAAATCAATAAATAAATAAATAAATAAATAAATAAATAAATATTTTTATTTATTTGCCTGTCTTATGCTGTATTATTATACAAATACTTCTTGTCTTATATCATCTACATACACATAAGTAAGTTATTTATTTATTTATCTATTTATTTATTTATTTAATTTATTTATTTATTTATATACGTATATGCATAAGGCATGCATTTTTTGCATGCACTTTGGGGCTGTTTTTGCATGCGTTTTTTCTTTTTTTTTTTGCACGCATTCTCATGCATGCATCCATTCCTCCCTTTACGTATCCATTCTCTTAAATGCATACATTATTTTGCATGCATGCATGCATGCATGCATGCATTATCTTCAATGTGTGCATGCATGCATGCATGCATGCATGGATTTTGGGGCTTTGGGGCTTGATTTTTTTGATTTTTTTGATTTTTTTTTTTTTTTTCCTTTTTTATAGGTTAGCCTATGGGGCATTACATCCATCAAAAGTTCTTGTTAATCATCGATTAAGAGTTCGTCTTAATTGTTGTGGTATATTAGATGCAACATTGTATAGTCAGCAGCAGCAGCAGCAGCAGCAGAGACAGCAACGTGCTGCTGCAGCTGCAGCTGCTGCAGCCGCTGCCGCGGCAGCAGCAGCTGCAGCAGGTGTTGTTATGCCACAAGATAATGCTGCTGCTACTGCTGCTGCTGCTGCAGCAGCAGCTGCAGCAGCAGCAGCAGAGGAGACACTAGAAGAGAGACAACAAAAAGATCTTGTTATGTTAGGCAAACTTATTCTTGCTCTTACCTGCAGCAATACAGTAAGGAGACACAATAAATAAATAAATAAATAAATAAATAAATAAATAAATAATTGAATAAATAAATAAAATAAATAAAATAAATAAATAAATAAATAATTTGTTTGTGTGTATAGGAAGGAGGAGACACAAAGACATGCCTACGTCAGTTATTATTGTCTCGTGTATACAGCGCAGACCTAAAGGGTTTATGTGTCTCCTTACTGCAGCAGCAGCAAGAGGAGGAGGAGGGTATAGTAGACAGCAGCAGCAGCAGCAGCAGCAGCAGCAGCAGCAGCAGGAGGGGGAGAGGTAAATTAACAGCAGGAATATTATTAGAGATGCATGCATCGCATGCATTAAGTTTACTGCAGCAAGAAAGTATATTATTAGATAATACAGAGAAGTTGCTGCTGCAGCAGCTAAACAGCAGCAGATTGCTGCTGCTGCTGCTAAAGATTAATTATATAATAATAAGGGGACAATTAGTTAATGATATTAATTGGGGACATGTAGGGGACAGGTATATAGTACGTTTATTTGCTGATTATTTATTCCTGCAGCAGCAGCAGCAGCAGCAGCATCAGCAGCATCAGCATCAGCAGCAGCAGCAGCAGCAGCAGCAGCAGCAGCAGCAGCAGTACCCTGTTATAGATATAGCACATGTATATGATTGTCTCCTTAAATGTGATTTAGGGACAAGAGAAGTTATTTGTTTATTAATAAAAAAAGAGACAAATAATAATAATAATAATAATAATAATAATAATATTAATAATAATAATAATTATTTATATAATTATAATTATATACATAATAATAATAATAATAATAATAATAATTATATAAATAATAATTATATAGATAATAATAATAATAATTATAATTATATAAATAATAATAATAATAATAATTATAATTATATAAATAATAATAATAATAATAATAATGTGTCTCCTTATGTGTCTCCTTTTTTGTCTCCTTTTCTTCTTCTTTCTTATAAGGAAATAAAAGATGCAATAGATAATAGTTTTAGGGATTTAGTTGCTGCTGCTGTTATACAGCCACATACTATGCCTGCTGCTGCTCCTCCTCCTCCTGCTGCTGCTGCTGCTGCAGCTGCTGCAGCTGCAGCTGCAGCTGCTGCTGCTGCTGCTGCTGGTGGGGTTGGGGGGTCACCCCTTGTTGCTGCTGCACATGGTGGTGGTAGTCCTCTTGTTAGACCGGATAATGCAGCAGATGCAGCAGCAGCTGCTGCTGCTGTTGCTGCTGCTGCTGCTGCAGCAGCAGGAGGAGGAGGGACAACAGGAAATCCTATGCATCTTTATGGTGGTAGTCCTATACATCATCATACACCTGGTGCTGCTCTTTATATACCGCAGCAACTGCAGCAGCAGCAACTGCAGCAACAGCAACAGCAGCAGCAGCAGCAGCAGCAGCAGCAGCATAGTCCCTCTATGTATTGTGTAGATAATCCGTCTCTTTATAGTCCGCCGCTGCAGCCGCTGCAGCAAATCCATCGTCATGCAGCGCAGCAAACTATTTACTACCCGCAAGAACAGCAGCAGCAGCAACAGCAGCAGCAGCAGCAGCAACAGCAACAGCAGCATGGGACATTTGAGCCGATGAGCTGGCAACAACAACAACAGCAACAGCAGCAGCAGCAGGAGCAGCAGCAGCAACCCTAGGTCCAACACCAACAACAGCTGCAGCAGCTGCAGCAACAGCAGCAGCAACAGCAGCAGCAGCAGTAGCAGCACGTGCTGCTGCTTCTGCTGCTGCTTTTTTCTTTTGTTGCTGTCCTTGTTTCTTGGGGATAAATTTTCTTTTATTAATAACTGCCTATACACCTCAATTATTTATCTTTTCTTTTTTATATGTATACTCTTTTTGTTGCTGCATGCAATATACAGTTTGCTGCTGCTGCTGCTGCTGCTGCTGCTGCTGTCGCTGCTGTTCTTGTTGCAGTGTTAGGTGACTAGAATGTGTATGCTCATGGGCTGCAGCAGCAGCAGCAGCAGCAACAGCAGCAACAGGCGCCTAGGTGATTTCTACAAATTGTGCTGCTGCCCTTGCTGCAGTTGCTGCTGTCTCGGGTATCGCAGCAGCAGCAGCAGCAGCAGCAGCAGCAGGAGCGAATGGTCGGAGCAGCAAGTGCAGCAACAGGTAGCTGTTGGGGTGTACGTACAGGTCTACATCTTAGCTAATATACAGACACAAGGTGTCTCCTTTATTTGTCTCCTTTTATTGTCTCCCTGCATGCATGCATGCATGCATGCATGCAGGTACAGCCTAAAACCCTAAACCCTAAACCCTAAACCCTAAACCCTAATGAGTAAAGAAAGAAAAGGGGGAAGACAAAGGAGACCCCAAAGGCAGATCCAGTAACTGCTGTATCTCTGACCAGCTGCTGCTGCTGCTGCTGCTGCTGCATGCATGCATGCATGCAGGTATGCATGCATGCAGGAACTGTTATGTTATAGAGAGAAAGCCCCAAGAGAAAGGAGACACATTAATAGGGAAGGAGACACTTAGTCCTCCCTTTGTGTCTTATTTATTCCTTAGGGACCCTAAGGGACCAGCAGCATGCTGCTGCTGCTGCTGCTGCTGCAGCTGCTGCTGCTGTCGGTGTTGCTGCTGCCAGTGCTGCTGCTGTTTTTTGCTGCAGCGGCGCAGCAACATATCCTCAGCGCATAGCTGCAGATACACCTCAGCATTAGCTGCATATACACCGCAGCAGAGGTGCCTATACACCGCAGCAGAGAGAGAGAGAGGTGCAGCAAGAAGGTGCCTATACACCGCAGATAAAGGGATAATTATATATATATACCCCTAATTAATAAGTAAATATCTCTGTATATAACAGAGAAATAACAAGAAAAAGAAGAAAAAGAAGAAAAAGAAAGACACAAACAACAGATAAAAACATATAATAAGACACACAACATTATACTTGCATGCATGCATGCATGCATGCATGCAACAGATTCATGCATGCATGCAACAGATTCATGCATGCATGCGTGCATGCATGCGTGCATGCATTCAATAAATGCATGCAAAAAATGCATGCATGCAACAGATTCATGCATGCATGCATGCATGCATGCATGCATGCATGCAGCAAATGCATGCAAAAAGTG